TGTTGTGGTAGTAGCAGCAGGACCAGCAGCAAAAGTGGAGTGGGAGCAGGAGCAGGAGCAGGAGCAGGAGCAGGAGCAGGAGTAGGAGTAGGAGTAGGAGTAGGAGTAGGAGTAGGAGTAGGAGTAGGGGAGGAGGAGGAGCAGTAATAGTGGATCAGTGAGGAGCCGGAGCGAGAAGAGTAGTAGACAGAGTAGGAGAAGGAGGGGAGGAAGGAACCGTTGTAGTCACAGTAGTAGCATTGGTTACTGCCATGGTCGTCGTCCGTCATCTTGGTTTCGTTGGTTGTGGGTTTGTCTTGTTTGTCAAGCTCAAGGCGTATGGTGTGAACACGACTCTTCGTGTCTATGCTGCGGATGTACGCAGGGCGCCTCGCTAATTGTGGCCAAAGCCTTGCAAGTCGAGGAGCTGTGCGAGGGCAGCAGTGTACGCTTTAGGAAGTCTTGTCGGCTACGATGCCGGATGCAAGTTCAGAATCTAGAATGGAGATTGTTCTTAAAGGAGGGCGATTATGTTTTGGATGCCTGTGCCACTGGCGCCACTTCGTACGGGTCTCGAGGGTATTGTCCAGCATCTTGCCATTGGACAAATCAGAAGAGCAGAGGTTCGCTCTGGCAGCAGCGCTCTTTGCCCCACGCTGCCCACGTGGACACGCATTGCTGCGGGCTCAGAAGTGCAGTCCCGGAAGTAGGGCGCTGTTTTTCTGGTTTCTTTCCGAGGCCGCAGAACCTGCAAGGCCGCCTCGTTTGCAACGAGGCCCCTGTTCACATGAGTTCAAGAGTCTTCGTAGAGCATCGAGCAAGCAAACCGACATCAGTCCAGAGACTTTCGCAGGCTGCTTGCTGACAGCGGTGGTGAAATTTTGAACACACCTTCAAAAGCCCCACTCAGATGGTCAAATCCCGGGCCATTCTCGTGCAGCAGATGTTGCCTGCCTGTCTCGCTTTAGCAGCTGCTCGTGCCGGGAAACTTGCAAGGAAGACTCGTATCGTGTCCGTAGGAAAGATCTTGGATCTTATTACCTTGCTTTCACAAACGACGTAACTTATGCTCCTCCGTGAAAGAGTGTGCAACGATTCGATGCCAGGCGGCTGCTGCTGCCGTGGCGGCTCTTCGATTCGAAGGCGTCGCATCTTCATAGCCTAAGTTCCGAGAACCTCGAGAGCCCAGAGCCAAGCCCTGAGGGTTGTCCCTGACGGTGTCTCTAGTTCGTGCGTGCAGTGGCTTTGTTTCCCACCGTCTTTGCATAATGCAGGAGGAAGTCCGCAGCGATCGGCAGACACACAGACGGCTAGACAGACATTCAGACTAAAAGCAGAGACTGCGAGCAAGGGATAGATAGAACCGATCTACGTAATTGCTTGTCTAGTGTGATACATCTGCGCACTCAGCACACACAGACTTCACAGCCCTTTTAAAAGCACCTTTGAGTTTGTTTCATGTCGCAGGAGAGCCTGGCCGGACATGGCCCTCGTGTTGTGGGGCTCCGAAGGGATGTGGTCCCAAGCACCATTCAGAGACTATTCAGTTTTCCATCAAGTCATGTCGGCTCCATGCAGGGCCAGAGTGACTTTCTTTTGGAGCTTCCAGGAGTCCGTGTACGAGCTCAGGTGTTGACATCTGTCGACTTGGGCACGACGTCGAATGCTGCCGAGAAGTGCACGTCTCAGAAATACGGCTGCCGGGAACCTTTGATGTGACCTGGGCCTACCTCAGGTTAGCACCCTACAGCAAGATCCTTCTGGGTCCTCCGTGCCCGAGCCTAAGCATAGGCTGTGGAGTGAAGCCTTTTTGCCATTTCCAGTTCAGGCACGGACGACAAGGCAATGCTGCGCGGCTCCTGCCCTGGTGGTCTCGCACGGTGGTCCGCTTCCACCGCCAAGGCAGCAACTGTATCCCGCAGAGAACCCATCCTTGACTTGAAAGAGCAGGTGAGCGCTGAGACCCGCTCTCAGCATTCCTCTGTCGGGGTTGGGTAGCCTCTTTCGCAGGTGGCAGCTGCAGCAACTGAGGCGACAGCTCAAGTGGTTGCACAATGCGCGCAGCCCCGAGCAGCAGCTTCGCACCCGTGTGGATGCCAACCTCTTCCCGATGCAAAGCTACAAAGTAGCTCCGGGCATCACTGAGGCTTTGGTTGCTTTGTGAGGGGGGTGTGCTGCTGTACTTCAATCGTGCGCCGGGGCCTCGTTTTCAGAGAGGAAGCCCCGAGTCTTCAGCCTTTTTGCAGGCTCGCTCCGGAGGAGGGCGACGGTGTCATCGAGCGGCTCTTCAAGCGCGTGGAGGGGACTTTCGACCTCCAGGCCGCCTCTGACCATTGAGGTGTGCAGCTTGAGCTATTTGTGACAGGGATATGAGTCGAGCTGACAAAACCCGCAGACAACAGAGACTAACATCTGGGCATGAGGCAATCTACCCAGTTGAGAAGACACTTGCCGAAGCCGGCCTTTTGTCTGGCTGCTCATGCCCCTGTCTTGCTTCACCGACCAGCTCCTCTCAAAAAAAACACCCTGCTCCGCTACTTCCAAGTCAGAATGCGGAAATGTACTGAATGCAGCCGGTGTTTGGATGACTCCACCAGAGAATTGCAAGGCACGCGGGAACCCTGCATGCGGGGGATCGAGTGGTCCGCTAGTATGGGGGGTTTCAAAGGGGTGGGTGGTTGAATCCCTTCGTCCTCGGTCTCCCGTGATCCTACCTGGCCTACCTTAGCCATCATGGCATTCCGACCCCCGTAACCAGGCGGAAGGGAAAAAGGTGTCAAAAAAGAACAGGTGGATCCACTCGATGAGGTGCTCAGCAGTCGGCAGCTAAACTTCTTGCGCTGTCACTTCAGTCGGTTGCACTACGAGCCCTTACATTCTCGTGTTCTGGTTGGGATGTGATAGGCTCCTGGATGGGAGATACCTCGTATGCAAAGGCATGATACCCGGGCTCGCTGCGGAGTCCACGGATTGGGGTCCTGACCTTAGAGGCGACCCAGCCCTCTGAGAGGAAGGTTGACCGGTCCTGGCCTGTTTGACTCAGGCACCAGGATCATGCCGGACAAGACGCCCGGACTCCTACTTTGAGAGGAAGACAAGAGCACTGCTAGTCGACCAAGATGTGCTTGCAAGTCGCCGCAAGTGGCACTGCCCGTACCTCTTGGAACTTTCCCTGATCCTTAAGTTGCAGCTCTAGGTTCTCCTGTTGGTCATACTGTGCAGAACAGACGAGGTCTTTTGGTCCTGTGTTCTTCAGTCGAATCCGCTTGATCAGACGCACGCACCAGGCGCTGCAAGTGTTTTGATGTGGGTGCCGGTGGTTGCACACATGCACAGCATGATTTTCTTGCACAGGGGCATGTTCGCTGACCGGCGCAAAAAAAATGCATCCAGTCTTTCCTCACGGACGAGATCGGATGCCGAAAGATGGCTAGTACATTTTCAGACCATTAGCTACGAGTCTCTTAACTTCTGGAGATTCCGTCGAACCTAGCGGCAGCATGGCATAAGGTCATGGCATGAAAACATGCCCTGCCTCGGTGTAACTTGGCGAAAAAGGAGAGGTGCTACCGAGCTCTACCACCGAGCTGGGAGCTGATATCTTCACAGCATCCTGGGCATGGTCTGCAATGGGCGACAAGCCACATGGACACTTTCCTCTGCCTCGCCGCCTTGAGTTTCAGTGCAGCTCCTGCGTCATGCGAAGGCAAAGACAGCCAGGAGAGCTCGTAATCACAGCAGAAAAGCTCCATGCAACCGTGCCTGTACAGCTCTCACTTTGCTTGTTTAGCTTCAGTGCATACTGTCCAACGACCCGATATTTTGAAAGCCTTTCGAAGCCTCCCGGCGGCTTGCAGGGGCCTCGGGTAGCGGCTTACCGCCTTGGAGCTTCGAATTGCGTCGAAGTTTGAGCGAGGTGCAAATGGCCAGTTTGGTCGCCAGGCAGATTGCCAGGCCTCTGGGGGGAAGCTGCACCCTCGTCGGATCGCATCTTTCGTTTTGTGGGCTCGAGGTCATGGGGGCTTGGCTGCCGAGGGCTAGCAGCGGGAGCGGCTGGACCTGTGGGTGCGGGCCCACGTAGCCTGGGCTCTCCGTTCTGGTTTCAACGATTTGCGAGTGGCCTTTGCTGAAGGTTTTATCGGCCTTGGAAACATGGGCCAGTGGCTTAGCGATACTTCGGGTGCCCGGTTTACTGGAAGCATGACCTCAGGTGGGCCAATGGCGCGGAACCTCTTGAAAGCCGGACACGAGGCCTGTGGTGAGTCTGCAGCAAGCTGCTGAGCTAGACCTTCCCTGCTTCATGTTTGTGTGTGTTGATGCCGAAGCCCTACATCCATCCACCCGTTCTGAAATGGCAGGTTGTTGGGTTCGACGTTTCTGAGGACAACCTCACCAAGTTTGCCGAAGCTGGTGGCCGCCTGGCGCAGAGCTTGCCTCAGGCGTTGTTTCGGCAGGTGTACGCGGGCTCTCAAGCCGTGATTGTACCTTTCGTAGCATTCCGGCCGTGGGGGGCCCTTTCTGACCAGTACGGATTGCTTGCTTAAGGTCCCCGCTTGCCGTGGCTGCAGCTGCACAGACGGTTGTCACCATGCTTCCGGCTGGTGCACACGTTCGGGAGGCGAGCGCTAGCCAGCAAAGCCTGCCAAGATGACTGAGGGTCACGGCGTCTAGGGCCTAGGGCCGTCTTTCCTTGTGACAAGCTGAGGTTTATCTCGGGAAGGACGGGCTTCTGCTTGATGGTGGAGCCGCAGCCTTCGGTGATCAGTGCAGGCTGCGAAGCGCTAGCTGCTAGCCTCGGAGTCTCAGGCAAGCTCGGGGTCGCTTCTCATCGACTGCTCCACTTGTGACGTCCACGTCACCAAGGAGGCAAACGACCCCACATCTGAGCCTCGGCGCAGAGCCTCCAACTCCAGGTGGCGGCGGCCTCTGCGAGCAGAGGCCAAAGACGGAGCCGAGTCCACGAGTCCACGGCGAGTCCACGGCGAGTCCACGCCGACCGCTCCCTCTTTTCTCTCTTGCGAGGCGCCGTCGCCGTGGACGCGCCCGTGTCTGGCGGCACGCCAGGGGCAGAGCAGGCGCCGGCGCCTGGCCGTTCTTCGTCCCTCGCTTCTTCCCGTCGGCAGGCCACGCTGACCTTCATGGTTGGAGGGTGCAGATCCCAGCTTCGGGGGGTCGCCTGGGGTGCTGCCACCACCCCACCCCCTCCCTCCCACCTCCCCATTCAGGGAGAAACAAAAAGGCATCGTGACTACATTTTGAGTAATTGCTACATTATTCACACGTCATTATTGGCATCAAACGGTGGTGGTATTGGGCCTCAAAAAAGGGGGGTGGTGGGTGGTCACCACCGCCCAAGCTTCAAGCTACCGCTCCCACAAAATCGAGAACTCTTCCAACTGGCGGCAAAGTCAACTGCAAGAGGTCCTTGGACGCCTTCGAATCTGCCAGCCTCATCCTGAAGCACATGGGCAAGAAGGTCGCGAAGCCGGAAGATGTGCCGCTGTGACTTCTCCTCGAATTCAATGGCCAAGGTCGTGCACTGTGGTGATGCAGGAATGGGCCAGGCAGAGTTTTCATATCAGAGCCAAGGGGTGTGAGATCCCCCCTCCCTGCAGGCAGCCAAGCTTTGCAACAACTTGGTTCTGGGAATTACCATGGCCGCTGTTTGTGAGGCTCTCCTTCTCCCACCGGTAGCTTCCTCTTCGTACATAGCCACCTTGCATCACACTTCTTCGCGCATCCCTAAACGGAAGCTGTCAGGGCCATGCTCTTGCTGAAAGCCTTGGCCTGGATCAGAGGACTGGGGTCGACAAACATCGGAACTTGCTCCCCTTTGCTCCCCTCTGCTCGACCCTGTAGATGCATCAGAAGGAGGCGTCGTCACTTTCGAAGGCATCTTCCTAGATTCTTGCAGCATAGGTGGCACATCCCCTTATCACGACTTCTCCAGAGACCCCCCCAAACCTATTTTTGGCAGGAAGCTGGCGGACATCCTCAACACCAGCTCCGGCAGGCGCCACGGGAAAGGAGGAAAAATGTCAGAGGACTCTTCCGGTTCCGGTTCGGAGCGGGAGCTCTCTTGATTTGGGCCAGGTGCTGGAGCAGCGACACCTACAATCCTTGCCCCGGTGTCATGGACGGGGTGGACGCTGCTGGTTATGGCTTCGGGGGGTTTTTGGGTCTGTGCTGGTATATCGCCGTAGCAGTGGGAGCGGCGGCGGTAGTATCAGCCACAGTATTGACACAAGAGGCGGTAACGGCTGCAGCGGATCGTCGTGGTGGCAACACAGCAGCAATGGCAGCAGCAGTATGCTAGAGCCGTCGAAATTGTTCGTGGCAGTCCGTTTCTGATCCATCCACCAAAAGCTTTTGCTACTCGTCACAGGGACAGCAATCTCAGAAGAAGAACCTGATATGGTCGCAAGGTTTGCGGTAGAAGGCACCATGACATTAGTTAGGGCCCGGCCCTAGCTTCGGAGGCGTTGCAGATAGCTCGAAATCAAGTTTCATAGGCTGCCATGTAAAGCAGCTGATGCTGCCAGGTTCCTTCATCCAGAGGCTACACTGGGGGATTTGCCTGTGATCTGATGCTGAAGGCAAGCTGTCTCATGCGACTCCTCTGGCGAATCGCGTTTTCACTCGCAGGATCTGAATCTGGCCACCTCGGCCGCCTTCGTGTCCAAGCCCAAGCTTGGCCTTCCCCTTGGAGGCGTTGGCCGAGCCGCTTCGCCTCTGCCTCTTCAAGCGAAGCGGCACCATCGGGCACCCGTCAGGTTTAGCTTTGCAGCTCTACTCCCAAATGAGCGCTCGGGGAGACGGTGGCAAGGCGATGCTGGGCTCGGGTTTGCGCATCTTGCATCTTTCATTGCGTCCTGTTCATGACTTGTGGCTGCCGTGACCTACAGGAACCCGCCGCCCGGATTCCGAGGCCCAAGACAGTACTTCGGTTGCCCCCGAAAGGCCCAGTTTCCCATGGCGAATCTGGTCGGGGAAGCCGTGAACGTGGACGCTAATCAAAGTGCTCCTGTCGTCGGTGTTCCGGTGCAGACCAAGGTGGTGGACAGTGGCAAGCCG